TATTAAAAGCTGGGTCCTCACTATTAAAAGACTGGGTCACCTGATTTTAGTTATTTAATGACTTGCAACAGTTAGTCCTCTGTGTTTTTTAAAATCTTACTCAGGGGACCAGCAGGTAGCATGGTGGTTAAGGCACTGGACACTCCCATATGGCTGACCGTGGTTCAAGTCCTGGACCTGGCGACTTGCTTTCTCACTTTCTCTCTCTCTCTCTCTCTCTTTTTCTCTCCCCCCACCCCAGTCAGATTAAAATAAATGAATGAACAACTAAAATTAAATAATTTTAAAAAATCTCACTTAGAAACAGTTTGTGATTCTTTTGTGACTCTGAAATTTCTCATTGTTTAAATTGTAGACAAATGATTACTTAACTACCCCAACCATGCTCAGTTCTCCTTCAGCCCTGAGAGGTTCTTTGGCTAGGGATTAATGTGGGTGTGAGATGGTCTTTGGATAAACATGGAAGTAACATTACCAAAAAGCTTTAATACCCGTTTTTTTGACATTATCTCTTGAATTTCAATATATGTCTTTAGATTCTCTAATAAGAAATAAATGTGTGCATATGTACATCCACATGCAAGTGGTAGAACCCTATTCCGGTGAAAGTAATGTATTCATATATGGTGCCTTTCCTGTTTGCCAGGGGCCATTTGTATCAATTGGCACAACTCTTTTGGAAAGAAATTTGGCAGTAGCTCTACCTCTTAGGGGCTATCCTAAAGAGGAGGCCTAAATTATGGGCCACAGATAGGTTCATATCTTTCTCCCACGATAGAGCCTTTGCTTTGGTTGAATTTGGGTGATTGTAGAATTGATAACTAAATTTGCTCTGGGCTTTAGAAGACATACTAAACTTTGACCATGTCGATATGAGTTAAATTTTCCCATAACTCTGACATATATTTGACTTCTGTGAGGAGTTTACTACTATAGCCCTTGAATTCCTAGTCATCTTTTAGTTCTTTTGACCAAAATTGTACTTAGCAGCAGATACAGGTTTTGAGTTTCTTAGAATACTTTTCTGAAGTTATGTATTAGTGATAGGTGTTCTCTTTTCTGCTCCCCTGGGTTGTCCCTCATCTCTACATTCAAAGTATACATTAATTTAATAGAGGCTCTGAAAAGTCCAGTCATTAAATGTGACTTTTAATACTTGAGCCCAGTATGTCCCTTACTTTTCAAACAGGGAACTGCCATTTACTCGCTGTGTGGCTTAGTGTACTTTTCTCTGTCAAATCAGGGAAAACTCCTTCCCACGATGATTTGTGAGCAGTGCATGAGGTAAGTTTATAAAGTACTTAATGAACTGGTTGGCACAGAATGAGCATTTCATCAGATGGTTTAGGGTACAGGCAGTGGTGCAGTGTTACCATAATTGAACCCACATGGGAAAGATTATAGGTTCGCACCCCAGGACCTCATTGAACACACTGGACGTGTGCATGGGCCTGTGATCCAGCGTGGCTCTGATTGGGAGCATTGTGTGAGGACTCTGTTGGGGACGACTCTCTGTCTCTCGTCTCTCTTACTCTCAAGAAATAAATGAATAACCTTTAAAAAAAGCGGGGGACCAGCAGATGGCATAATGGTTACATCACTGGACTCCCACGTAGTAGACCAAGGTTCAAGTACAGGACCTGGTGGCTCAGAACTTATGCCGGGGACATGTGTGTGCATGCCCAAGATCCCAAGATCCTGAAAGGAGAAGGGATTGCGACGTGACCACCCCTCCGGGGGTTATTTCTCACTGCTGCTCTTTCTCTCTGGCGAGGGGATGCACCCTATAGCAAAACTCTCTTTTAAGAAAAAAAAAGATAGTAGGGGTTTTTTTTAGATGTGTTACTGACCTCTAATCTAATTGAGGACGTAAGAACAGCAGACACGGCATCAGCAGATGATGTAATGGTTATATCACTGGACTCCCACATAGTTAACCATGCACGGTTCAAGTCCCAGACTCAGTGACCCAAACTTAATGCTGGGTGTATATGTCTGCATGACCAAGATCCCAAGAAGAGGATGGAGGAGAAGGGATTGCAGTGCGGACATCCCCATAGGGGGTGATTTCTTGCTTTCTGTCTGTCTCTCCAGTGAGCACATGTACCCTATAGCAAAAAATACCTCTCCCCGCCCCCCTCCCCCCCAAAAAAGAACAGCAGATACAAAACGATTAGAAACCATAATTGGGATGGAGGGTTACTTACTATAACTTTCATGAACTGAATCTAGAGGGTTGGGCAGAACTTAGCAAGTGGAGGTGTGGCAATCTTAAATTGTCTCTGGATATCCTATTTTTAAGTTTTCAAATCACTTTTAAATAAACCTCTTTTTGGTTCTAGATGTAATATAAGTGAAAGACATTTGGAGTATTGAAAAACTTAAATCCAGTGCTTTCTAGTAGAACTTTCTGATAGAATTGTATTTCCGTGTTTTCTGATACATTGTCCTTTAGCCACATGTGATTGGGGAGGGGAGCATTTAGAATGTGGCTAGTGTGACTGAGGAACTTTTACATTTTAATAATAATTTAAATTTAAAATTAAACAGCAACATGTGGCTACCATAAGCACAAAAGTAAGCTTAAAACGAAATTAAGAATTTGTTACAGGACCAGCACATGGTATAATAGTTACATTGCTGGACTTCCATGTAGTCAACCATGGTTCCAGTCCCAGACCCAGCAGCTTGAAACTCATGCTTGGCACGTGTGCGTATGTGCCCAAAATCCCAAGAATAGACTGGAAAAGGAGGGATTGCAGCATGGCCATCCCCCCGGGGGATGATTTCTTGCTTTCTGTCTCTCTTGCAAGTGCTCACGCCATATCTCTCTCAAATAAAATATTTGTTGCTAAAGATGTGGAAAATGAATACAAACTTTTAAAATCAGTAAATTCTTTTGTAATTCATTGACTAATGCTGTTTTTTGTTGTTGTTTTAGGTCTCCAATTGAGAAACATGGCACTGTTTTTCCTGCACTCTACCCACCTATTGCTGGACTTCTGTTGTAACAAGTTGGCAAACACTGGCGGAACTGGGCTGCAATAAAACATGCCAGTTATCAATGCTGACAAGAGCCTAACAAGTGCCAACATACAGATGATTACGCATTTTGAATTCTAATGAACTGTTTTAACCTTCAGGAAGAATTGTAAAGACCTGTACATAGCACAACACGATCCGGATAATATATATACTGTTCATGTACATCCACAAATACACCTGTACCAAATAATGCTTTCTCGTAGTAGAATAAGAATCGTGTAAATTCTAAAAGATTTTAGCAGGTTTTCTTGCCCTATTCATTGTTTCTGATCAGTTTTA